CCTGGAAAGTTTACTGTGGCTGTGGAGATATTTGCCATTCTGGCCTCCAGTTTTGGACTGATACTGTGTATATTTGCTCCAAAGTGTTTCATCATATTGTTTCAGTCAGAGAAGAACACCAAGAAACACTTAATGAACAAAAATCAAATATAAAGTCAGAAACCAGGATAATGAATTTTGACACAATGACAACTACAACACATTTCAAAATTCTCATATTGTTGCAGACATTCTATATTCATAAATTTTAATAAGGAAATTATAAGCACTATATTTTGATTATGTTCATGTTTCACTTAATTGTTATTCCATAGTGCAATATTTCTTTTGTTAGTATCACTTACTTTTTTGTAATGTAAAAACTATTTTAACATTGCCCAGAGTTGGATTCCTCATTGTTGTATTTTAGTTTCAAACTTTGATTTAAATAAAAACATAAACAAAATGTGTAAACATAAGATTGAACCGTGGCAGAACAAAAGACTTGAGACGTGAGACGTGGAAAGTGGGGTGAACCTTAAGTGAGCGGGTAGCTGGAGGTGGACGGCTACAGGGTTGATGATCTTAGAAATGATGAAGGGGTCCATGAACCGGGGTGCCAGCTTACGAGATTCCACTTGTAGCGGAGGTCTCTGGTGGAGAGCCAGACCTTGTGGCCCACCTGGTATGTGGGTTGAGTCGACCAATGCTTGTTTGCCCCCCTAGCATAGGTGGTGTTGGAAGTGAGGAGGGCTCTCCTGGCCCTTCTCCAGATGCGTTGGCACCTCATGATGGCATGGTGGGCTGTACGGATCTGTGCTTCTCTCCCCTGAACAGAGAATAAAGGTGGTTGAAAGCCCAAAACAACATGAAATGGATTACACACCTGAGAAGATAGTAGAGCATTGATGGCATGCTCAACCTAGGGAGGTTGGTTGATCATTTACTGGGGTCTCCTTCACAAAGCAGGTGTAACTTGGTCTCCTCCTCCTGGTTAGCTCTCTCTGATTGACCTTCTGTATGAGGGTGAAAGCCTGAGGAGAGACTAATGGTGATGCCCAGAAGTCTACAAAACTCCTTCCAGAATTTTGAAATGAATTTAGGCCCCCTATCAGAAACAATGTCACTAGGTAGACCAAGTAGTCTAAAAATCTCCTTGGCCATGATGTCACAAAGTTCCTTAGCAGAAGGTAACTTGAGGAGAGGGACGAGGTGAACCATTTTTGAAAAGCGGTCCATGACCGTGAGGATAACAGTGTTACCTGAAGAAGATGGAAGACCAGTGATAAAGTCCATCAATATGTGGGACCATGGGTAAGATGGGACAGGCAGATAATGAAGAAGACCTGCTGGTGGATGATGAGAGGACTTGGCCTGATTACATGAATGGCAGGAGTTTACAAAATGTTTGACATCTTTAGTTAGGTTCGCCCACCAAAACTGTGACTTAACCACACCGAGGATCTTAGTAATTTCAGGATGATAGAACATGTGCGAGTTGTGGAAGAGCTCGGGTACCTCTTTTATCTTGCTGTTGGGAACAAACACACGGTTCTTAGGGCAGTTGGATGGAGAAGGTCGGACCCTATTAGCCTGTTTTAAGTCCAACTCCAGCTGGGTCTTGGATAGATGTATTTTATATGGCACAACGAACTCTACTTCAGTCTTGGGGGTCCCATTCTCCTCAGAAATGTAAGACAGGGTGTGGGGCTTTGTGTTCTTTGTTCCAGGTCTGTAAGACAATACAAAGTCAAAACGACAAAAGAATAGGGCCCACCTGGCATGTCTGGGGTTCAGTTGTCTTGTGGTACAGAGGTACTCGAGGTTCTTATGGTCTGTCCACACTTGGAAGGATTCTTACCATACCATACCATTTTATTTATAGAGTACTTAAAACAGCGACAAGGCCAACCAAAGTGCTGTACAGACAGAAAAACAGGCAACACACAAAGCAATATACGAAATGAGGTAAATCAGAATATAGACATAAAAACGATGCAGATAATAAATATGACGACTAACCAGTGTGGAGCATACAGGTTCAAAACACATATCTGGTGTTGAAAGCTACTTAATAGATGTGGGTTTTTAAATGGGACTTGAAAACTGAGAGGGAGGGGGCCTGTCTAACAAGCAGAGGCAACTCATTCCAAAGTCTTGGGCATGCCTGGAGAACATGTGATCTGACGCTCACCACCCCCCTCCCTGAGGAATTTCCAACTGATAACCAGATGAAACCAGCTGAATAAACTTGTGTCATCATTTCAGGACTCTTGGATTCTCATAGATGCTATTCTTGGCCATTCCTCGACATCCCTCGAGAATGTTTATGGATCTCACCGGAGGACTTTGGCTGACTATTACATCCCTATCAGAACTCTTACAGTGACGTCGGGAGCATCTATGAACATTGCTGACCGCTTTCGTCTCCCCCGTCTACAGAATGTCTATGTCAATAAGTGCTTGTTTGTGCGAGGTGTTTTTTTTAATATTAGAGGGTTTTTTTCCTCAGGCAAGAAAACAAAAGTCTGATAGGATTTGTGTTTGCCTCTAATTCCTACATGTGTCCAGTTAACCACTGTTTTTGTCTGTCCAAACAGGTCTCACTTATAAATGAGTCTTTGAGGCTCAATGTGATTTATCTGTTTAAATAAAGGTTGAATGGAAAAAAAAGCCTTCTGTAGTCAATACAAGCCCTGAGAGATCTATCTTTCTTGCCAACAAAGAAAAACCCCACCCCAGCAGGGGACATTGAAGTTCTAATGATACTAGCCTGGAGAGACTCCTTGATATAGTTTTGCATATTGTCATGTTCAGGACCTGATAATGAATACAAGCCACCCTTAGGTGGAGCAGTACCAAGAATGAGGTCTATGGCACAATTATAGGGTCTGTGAGGGGGAAGAGGGTTTGCTTTAATCGTATTAAATACCTCTTTAAGGTCATGGTACACAGCTGGGACCTTAGAGAGGCCTGGATAAGTCACCTTGACATCTGTAGGGCTTATTTAAGGTAAAACAGCATCAAATAGATAGGTTGTGAGACAGTCATAAAGCCCAACCAACTATCTCCTTACCCCTCCAGTTGATACATGGTTATGCTTGTTCAGCCAGGAAGAGCCAAGAACAACCGGAAGCTGAGGAGAGTTGATTACAATAAATTGTATTGTCTCCTTGTGATTACCTCCAAGTAACAGGGTGACGGCTCTGGTTTCAAGGTCTGAGTTATTTAGAGAGTGTCTATCCAAAGTGAGGACCTTATGAGTCTTGGAAGATTGGGTTAATTCAATACCCACTGATAGAGCAAACTGGTGGTCAATGAACTCCATGTGTGCCCCAGAGTCTATGAAAGTGTCACAGAAATAAGTCATTGATCGGCTATTAGAATTTCAGAAGGCACAGTGAAAGGGGAGGAGGTTCTGGGATTTCTGATCGGACTCAGCAGATGCCTCCTCTTCCCTGCTGAGTCTGGCCTTTTAAATGGACATTGCCCAATAGTGTGATTACTCTCTCCACAATAAAAACATTACATTTTCTTCTCCTTTCTTTTTCTTTTGGGTTGAGTTGGCTCCTTCCCAGCTGCATGGGTTCATCTAACTGATGGATATTGGGAGTAGGAGTGACATATGTATTAGTAGAAAAGGTTTCTGACTCACCAAAAGGTCTGGAAGGATTCCCCGGCTTATTACCCTTCTTCCAATCTCTCTCCCACAGACGTAGGTCGATACGGGTTGTCAGGTCTTCCAAGCTCTGGAGGGACTACAGGTAATCATTGGCTGCCAGTGTGTCCTTTATGTTGGCATTTAAACCTTGAAAAAAAAGCCATCAATTGAAGCCTACTCGTCCCAGCAGCTGTCGGCTGCAATGGCATGAAATTCAATAATATACTCAGTTACTTGTGTATTGCCTTGTTTCACTGAAAACAATTTTTGTGCATCCTCTCTTTCTCAGGCAGGATATGATCAAACACTCTTCACAGTACTTTGGAGAAGGCTGAAAAGCTGTAGCAACACATAGCATCTCTATTCCACTCTGACGTGCCCCATGAATTTACTTTACCTGCCAGGAGTGAGATGACGTAAGCCACTCGAGCCCGCTCAGAGGGGAAGTAAGATGGCTGCAGCTGAAAATGGATCTCACACTGCCTGAGAAAAGGTTGGCACTGATCAGGCTTTCCTCTAAACAACTCTGGAGAAGACCAACGAGGTTCATTATAAATTGCAGGCAAATGATGAGAAGATGCATGAGCACTGGCTGTGTGAACTGAGTCCTGAATAGAGGATTGTTGTGACATGGATTTAAGCATGAACATTACTTCCTCCAAATTAGATTCTAGTTTCACTATGGCCCCCTTGACACCAGAGTGCCAATCTTGGATTGGTGCTCGATCCACTTCTTGGCCAGATTCTACTGACAAGAACCGGGTTTGGATCAGCAAAACAACACCAAGGCCAAGAGTGGTTTAACAGTTTTATTGTGAATGGGAAAATCTCTGGTGGAAGACTGGGTCCTGGGCCGGGTCCAATCTTCTGTCTTTGTGTTGAGGCTGAAGCTTTAGTAGTGCTGAAGCCAGTGACATCACTCCTGTAGAGTGAGCTGCTGCAGTGGAGCAGATTAAAGGACTTGAGGTCCAGAACAGGGAGATCCAGAATCGTGGTCCTTGAGTCATTGCAGGGGTCAAGCACGCTAAAGCAGAGAGCCAAAAACAGAGCCGAATTGTGATCCCAAGGTGTAGTCAAATGGGAAGGCACAGAGTTAGAAACTATGGGCAGACAGACAGACAAATCCAAGAGGATTCAGGCAAGGCAAGGAGTCAGAAACAGGCAAGGAGTCGTGGCAAGGCAAGAGACAAGATCAGGTATGCTGGATTTCTACTTCTGTATTAGTTTTGAGAATCTGGCACCGACAGTGAATGCAGGGAGCTTAAGTAGGGCAGAGAACAGGTGTAGAGCAT